ATAATAAAATGAGGACCTCTGCAAACCCTCTCATGAACGTGTCAAGGCCAATAAGCCTTTTAAAATTTGTATGACAAAGACATCAGGTTGTAAAATGTAATGTAGTGCAGGTCCACAAAAAGCTAAAGATTTTTTATGATTACATAATGATATTTCAAAAAGGAAAAAAAAAAAAAATAAAATATATATATATATATATATAAAACTTGAAAGTATATTTTAAAAAGGAACAAATGTTACTTCTTGATGATTACACCACATGACAGTTTTATGTCATTAAATTTAAAGTTTTCTTGAAAGTAAGTTTTTTTCCCCTCAAAACCATTCAAAACCAAGATACAAAGAGTAAATTTCTGAAAAATTGGCTCATCTATTTTAAAAGATTATTTGTCATTACCCAAATAGCACTCATCTATAGTTAACAAAAAATGTGCTAACCAATGCTCTTGGTTATTCACTTGTGACACATCAAATACTGTTTCCAGGTCAAGGCCTCCACTCTGTTTCAATTGAGAATACTATCATAACAGCCATTTATGAGCGCTATTTATTTACAGCCACAAGGTGTCCTGGGCACCAATATTTTAACGATTCATAAAAATGAAGATTTCTCTGAGAAATCAACTGAGATTTCTCTATGGAAATAAAGGTTTTGATTTTTTTGGTAGTATTACAGCACACCGCAAGTGTATATTAGCACCCTTTGTTGCTTTCTTTTGGGATCTGATAGAGCTTTCGGACCTGGACAAGCAGATTTCTAAATTACATCAGCTGGACTTGACCATGACATATTAAGGTTCATTTTCACTGATAAGTCTCAAGCAGACATATCACATGCTCAGATATTCCGTACCCACTGTATATATATATATATATATATAAAACTTGAAACTTGAAAGTATATTTTAAAAAGGAACAAATGTTACTTCTTGATGATTACACCACATGACAGTTTTATGTCATTAAATTTAAAGTTTTCTTGAAAGTAAGTTTTTTTCCCCTCAAAACCATTCAAAACCAAGATACAAAGAGTAAATTTCTGAAAAATTGGCTCATCTATTTTAAAAGATTATTTGTCATTACCCAAATAGCACTCATCTATAGTTAACAAAAAATGTGCTAACCAATGCTCTTGGTTATTCACTTGTGACACATCAAATACTGTTTCCAGGTCAAGGCCTCCACTCTGTTTCAATTGAGAATACTATCATAACAGCCATTTATGAGCGCTATTTATTTACAGCCACAAGGTGTCCTGGGCACCAATATTTTAACGATTCATAAAAATGAAGATTTCTCTGAGAAATCAACTGAGATTTCTCTATGGAAATAAAGGTTTTGATTTTTTTGGTAGTATTACAGCACACCGCAAGTGTATATTAGCACCCTTTGTTGCTTTCTTTTGGGATCTGATAGAGCTTTCGGACCTGGACAAGCAGATTTCTAAATTACATCAGCTGGACTTGACCATGACATATTAAGGTTCATTTTCACTGATAAGTCTCAAGCAGACATATCACATGCTCAGATATTGCTCTATCAGCTTGTGTCTGTTGAACCTTTTTTATGGCCAGGAAACACTAACATTCATCTATCTCAAAGACACAACAGACTTAATGACACACTTTAGACAGACAGCAGCCTTGGCATGGATCATTAGGGAGCCAGGCATTTCCCAACATATCATTGGGGAAAAACAGTTTGGGAACCGATTATAATTAAGGCCATCCATTCAGATAATTTAACGGATGTGAGATCTAATCAGGGAACGACACAACTAAAAACCCAAAGCACTTAAAAAGAGACTAAACTAATTTCTATTAGCCAGTTAATTCAGCAAATCAATTGTTGTGGCATGAACTCCCTGAACCTCACCTACAACGAAAGCAGATAATGTAAAGCTTATCTGCTGGAGACAGAGCCACAAACAACTGACTGTGACCACAGGCACCCAATGATTGAAAGGTTGGGTTTCTATGGAGACTAAGTGATGAGTGCATTATACTAATACATGTGTACATATCTGGAAACAAAAGAGGAAAGCTTTTATTAGCATTCCAGTCATTTGAGGATAATGCAAGAGGCTAACTGCCAGAGCAGCGCTGCGAGTCGACATACAGTGAAAACTGACATGGAGAATGCCAATAGGACAGAGTGTGTGCCAACTACTGCTGTATTGTGGTGGTGAACTGGAGCTATGCAAGCGTGAAAGAACAAGCAGACCCAGTCACAGTTCCGTGGGGGTCAGTCAATACCACCCCATCCGGCTGCAAGCTGGTCGATAGCGTGATTGTGTTCTGAGCCGGCTGTGTAAGTTGGGGTTTAGGACAGACCTACCGCTGTGTGATTAGATAACCAACTCGTTTGGCGATGAAGTGACCCTGGGTTTTATCGCCAAGCCTCCAGACACAATCAATAACGTTCCTCCCAAACAGCCAATCAGAATCTGGCTTATAGATTCATAAATTGGAGCACAGCCTTAAAACTCATTTGCAAACTCAAAGTTAGCAGAGGAAACACGTTTCAGCTGGCTTCAAATGGGGCTCCCTGTCTTTTCACCATTTCATATGAATGAGAAGTTCAAAGGGTGCCATCCAGCATGAATTAATTAGAGTTGAAAAACAACTTTAAAGAGCTCTGCTACAATTTTTGTTCCATAATATGTTAGGCTGCATCATTTTTAGTCCAGTTTTAGGTCACCGTTCAATATTCATTAGAGGATGTTATCATTTGAGTGTCCTCTGAAGTCTTTCAAAGCTTAGGTCTCCTCATGACTGGATCATTAAATCTAAATTGGGTAATTTCAAA